CAAACTACCGGGTTTAGCATTAACTCGGAAAACTATAGCACTATAATAAACTCATCTACTAAAAATATGTAACATGAAGGGGAGCTTTGGAGCAACGGTAAAGTTGTCTCCGTATGACCTATAGGTCACGGGTTCGAGCCGTGGAAGGTTGTCTACCTCACTCCTTAAGGTGCGGCCCTTCCCCAGACCCTGCATGAATGCGGGATGTTTTGTGCATCGGGTTGCCCTTTTTTAAAAGTATGTAACACTCTACACTCATATAAGGATCAGCCTTCGTATCTCTGGGTCGTCTTTAGCTAGAGTTATGGAGGCTTTCCTTTTTGTTTTGGCTCTTGCCCCTAGCTTTATCATATTTACGATGGTCTTACAAGTCCCTTTGGTAATTTCTTCTCTATTGGACCTTCTCTTTTCATTCAGGTACCTCAAAATTGTGAAATCAGAAGGACTGGAAATTTCCCAGCCAGCCTTGGACCGGAACTCAACTGATATACATCACAGAATCACAATAAGAAGCAAGAAGAAAAGGTTCCACAGGTGCGCTGTGATAATCCAACTCTTCAAACTTCATGTTTTGGAATATTTTGGGTGAATATTAATGCACCTTTTATTTAAGCAGAAGAGTGTATGATAGTAGAGGTAGTACAAAATGTTCAGATGAAAGTGAAGGTCCGCCATGCAGCGGGTAAGTTTTATGCAATTAGGATATGATTGCTATTATTCTTGGGCTATATTTGATCTTGCTTTCTCTTTGATTGAGTTAATGGATATACCAAGCTTTTATGTTCTATAAATGGGAATTTTTTTAACAATTTGGAGAAAATTTTGCTTCAAGCGTCTCTTGAGTTTGATGAGATCTTTTGAGATGTTTCGCAATCTGCTATAATGAGTAGTATCCACACTCTTATCTGCAGATTTGTGGAAGGAATGGCTCCAGTCTTTTCAAGATCTGCTTGGTTGTGTGCTTGGCATCTTATACAAGTAAACTTGTGGTTTCTATCATATAGCCGACATCCCAATTTTCAGTTTTCAGACTTTTGTTATAGCACCTATGAAATAAACTCACCATAGTTCTTGTCAAGACAAAAAAGAAATCTATGTCCTAATCTTTATCTGGGACTTGAACCAGAGGCCTCGCTGGTCAAGTAAATCAGCAGTCTTTGTTTGTCCATTTTCTCACCTGCTTTCTTTTTCCTTGGTTGTACTGGTTCAAACTACTGGAATAAAATTCTAATTACTGCTTCTTCCTATCAGAATGATCTTGTTCACGGATGGGGAATGGATATGAAACTTGGTTATTGTGCACAGGTTAGATATGCATTGTTTCGTCTTTAATTTTACTTGTTTTATTATGATCTATAAAAATTCCGTTAAATGCTTTGTTACTCAGTTATACTCTGATAGAATGGTAAGAGCTTTCATGCCCATTTTTCCTTCTTCAGGATCCAGGCCTCCTTTCTCCAAAAGAATGTATATGTTTATTTTACCTTTTGATTACCTGTTTCAACTTTAAGATTAATTCTTGGTATGTAGATATCGATCCCCCCCTCTTCTGCGCTTTAAGACAGCACATAATTGCATGAACTCTGTTTAGAATGCTGCATTATTATTCGGAAGTAGGCATCTATGATTCTAACTTACGTGAAACTTGACATTGTTGTAGGGGGACCGAACCAAGAAAGTGGGAGTAGTTGATAGTGAATATATAGTCCACCAGGGCATTCAAACTTTAGGAGGGCCATCTTTGAAGAAGGTAATGTTCTGCACTACGTCCGTTTTAAATGGAGCCATAAGAGACGATTTTTCTCTCTTTTAGTTATCCCAAAGTGTAGAGGCTGCAGCATCCCGTATTCACGCAGGGTCCGGAGAAGGGTCGCATCCCACAAAGGGTGTGATATGGATAGTCTACTATGCAAGCATTAGTGGCTGCTCCACGGCCTTAACCCGTGACCTATAGGTCACATGGAGACAACTTACCCGTTGCTCCAAGGCTCCCTTTCCCAAAGTGTCGAATATAATTGCATTCAGGTTCTTATTCAAAATTTAGTGTAGGATAAGTATTGATAGAGTTTTGAGCCCTATGCAATAATGAGTTCTGTGCATTATATAAATTTCTATGATAAGCATTAAGTGGCAATCTAATTAAAACAGCAACTGATTTATTAATTTTGATCATGTAAAAAGTATTTACATAGCAGTGTATATAATTTAACTTGTAGCAATATTACAATGTTCTATGCTCCGTTCATTTGCCTCCCACTAATTTTGGTTCATGTTTGTACAGCGTTCAAATCTTGAAGAGTCTGTGAAGGTATATAACATTCTACTTCTCCTGTGCTTAGGCAGTTTTGAGAATCTACAACGTAAAACTTTTCCTGATTCTTGTCTGTCTATGTTTGTTTTCTTTTCTCTTGGCCTGCAGAGACACGACGTTGACGTGCGATCCGAGGTGAGACACTGCTTTTATCCTGCTACACTACCCCCACATTTCAACCAAAAATGCCTAGAGTTTAAGTTACACAGTTTTCTTCTTAAAGAGATTGAGTGTTTTAGCATTCAATTCATAATTTCAATGCAGATTCGAAGACAGTCAACGCATGAGCTACAAATATTTAAGGATCGGTGGGAACGAGCTGTTGAGGAAGACCAAAACTGGGTGGATCCATTTGAAGCTAGCAGCCTGAGACGTAGACAACGGCGTAAACAAATACGAAAATTAAAGATTAAGCTAAAAGACTATGTTTAACAATAAGCAAAGATGCTAATACTGGCTTTGATTGAAGACAATAATACGAGGTTAAGCTTGAGCCAAATGCCATTATCTTATCATGTCACTTGACCGCACCCGTCCAGTTGCAGGGAGACTTGTAAATTATTATTTTGTATAGGCCTATTGAAATGTTCATTGTTTCATGGTTGTGATAAGTTCTCCAGCCTTTTTATTTTTATCATTTTTTATTGGAGAAATTGGATGTGGGCCCATTTTGTGGGTCCGATCCCACTTTGTTACATAGTGACATATCAGCAAGTTCGAAAGTCTTTGGGGAGAGAACTATAGATTCGTTTTTCTACCATTCTAGGCTACTATAGTTTTTTGTGCACAATGTATATGATTTTTGAGACCGTTGGTTATGCCTGAGATTGCCCCAAGAACTTCCCCGCTTAGAAAACTGACTAATCAAACAAAGGGGTAAAATTTTTTAGGAGGGTAAGGAGTTTGGGTTGGTGTGAAGTGTACCGCACTTGGGGTACAAGATTGGAAATTCCATTCTCTTTTTTACCATCGAAGAAAAGAAAGAAGGGCAAGATAAAGGAGTTCGGAACTAAAATGTGGACTCAAAGAACCAAAATGTGGGAAAAAAATTGATGATCATAATATATATATAATGTCATTTTAAAAGACGTTATATCTTAACGGTCGTTTGTCCAGTTAAGTATAGCGCCCTTTTAAAAGGCGCTATATTTGAACCTGAAATGAGCGGGAAGGTATAGCGCCTTATATTAAGACGATATAGTATGGCGTCTTAATATAAGGCGCTATACCCACATAAAATCGATACTCCCCTTCCCCACCAATCCAGAAACGTCCCCCTTAAACAAAACAGCGGTCCCCCATTGTTAAAGAAAAAAAGCTAGAGTGGAGCCCACCGGTCCCACAAAAAGTATAGATTCTTGGTCCCACATCCTATCTAAGGCGCTATCTTGTAGTGGGTTCCTCGTTTCGGTTCCAAATCACCAAATCTTCAATTTTCCAAAAACTTTAAATCGAGGTATTCCAACTTAGTTTTTGTTAAACCTCATGAATAAAAAATGCATATTAGTTATTTTTAATGTGCTCTATGTTATTTTGTGATTGTTTTGTGATTTAATTAATTTGTTATTTTTTATTCGGACTATAGTATTAGTGTGCTAAAAAAATTTAGTAAAATAGAGAAATTATTATTAGTTGTTAAAAAAAATATTAATTAGTTACTTTTTACTGTGGTATATGTATTTTCGTGATTGTTTTGTGATTAAATTAATTTATTATTTTTATCCGGTTTAGATTATTTATTTGCTAAAAGACTAGTAAAATAGAAAAATTATTAATTTAGTTCCCAGTAATGGTATTTTGTGGCCTAATATAGTGCTCGTATTTGTAATGTCGCGCCCTTTTAGCGTAGTAAAATGTAGTGCTCTTTAGCGTAGTATCTTTGTAGTTATTGAAATTAATCATTTAAGTATCTGTTAAACCCAAAAATATGTCAAAAAAGGCTGATAGTTCAAACACAAACTCTCTCCAATTCTAGTCAACAAATGTAAGAAAATAACACGAGAAAATAACAATATTTGTCAAAGTATTGTTATATGAATATTTAATAATTAAATCCTGTATAGTTATGAAAATTAATTATTTAATTTTATTATAGTAAACAATAAGTGAGTAACAAACAAACATATAAAATAATAAAACTAACATATAAAATAATAAACTAACATATAAAATCACAGACCTGTTGAGTGATAAATCGAAAAAAATTTCTCATCATGAACACAAGAACATTGGATACCTTGGTGCTACTGAGCCTCAAATATTGAGTCCGGAACCAAAATGTGATTCATTTGGAGTCAAACTAAGTATTGTTATATGAATATTTAATAATTAAATCATGTATAGTTATGAAAATTAATTATTTAATTTTATTATAGTCAAAAATAGGTGAGTAACAAACAAACATATAAAATAATAAAACTAACATATAAAATAATAAACAAATATATAAAATAATAAACAAACATATTATAAACAAACATATAAAATAGCAAACTAACATATAAAATATTAAAGTAACATATAAAATATAAAATTATACGTAATATTGAAAATGTATCAACCTAATTAACAATATAGTAAAAATATCGAATAAATTTTAATATTAAAGGTATTGCAATATATTTAGAGATGTTAAGTAATGAAAAAGAAAAATACTTTAATTAATATTGTTCAATTTACAGTAGTCATCATGGAGGTTCCGTCTGTGCATCCCGGACCTGCCTCGCTAGAGCTATTGTTACTACAGGCCGAGCATAGGTCTTCGTACATATGGGAGAGGCAGTTATTGGCCCAGACGTTCCGTGCTAGAAGAGTAGACGATATGTGGTACTTTCTTAGGGCCCACCATCTCCATCCCCTATAGTCAGACGCCTTCAGGATACAGGTTTCTATAGGATTATTGAGATCGGCCGGCTGAAGCTAGATTGGCCATTGATCACGACTTTGATAGAGTGGTGGTGACCGGAGACGCACACATTCCATGTACCCATTAGTGAGGCTACTATCACGCTTCAGGACGTGGAGGTTCTGAATGGACTGCCGGTTGATGGACATCCTGTTGCTTTACCGCATGCCATCAGAGATTATATGAGATTGCAGTACCTGGAGATGTTGCAACGGCTCACTGGTTTCCAGCCAGCGGATGAGACTGCATTGGTTGGGGCTAGTCATTTGCTGTTAACGCCCGTCCGGCTGCATCTGGAGGCAATGCATGCGGACATTACGAATGATACACCGGATCTTCATATTAACCGGTATACGAGGCTGTTGCTGCTGCTTATGTTTGGAGGGGTATTGTTCCCGAACACTTCGGAAAACCTAGTCAGCATGAGATTTCTTCATCATCTTGAGCGTCTAGATGATTTACATGATTACAGCTGGGATGCCGTTGTTCTTGGTTATTTGTACAAGCAGATGTGCCGGGTGAGCATGGGCACCCAGCGAGACGTTGCCGGATTTTTGCCGCTGCTTTAGGTGAAAACATAGTCAATTATTTTCATGATTATAACATACATAGTAAAAATATACCTTAAATTATATGTCCACATTGTATATTAGGTTTGGGCATGGAAGTGGTTCCTGCAGTTGCAGCCACCTTTACCACCCTTCGTTCGGATGCACCACCTCCACCGTTTCTCCCTTTAGCTAGGAGGTGGGTTGATAGGCGGGGATTCGGACGCGAGTACGAGGCTCGACATAATCTCCCATATTGCAGGGATTCGTTGGATTTGATGGAGGGCGCACAGGTAAATGTATACTTAAGTTTACTTGGCCTAGCTTTATATGTGTTGCGCATACTCAAGGTTCTTATTTTTACTTAATAGTTCATTTGGAGGTCATACAGCGACGAGCTAATAGCTGGTTTTCCCGATTATTGTTCGACCGGGCGAATTATGTAGAGCTCTTCCGTCCCGTTGATGTGTCTCGATATTGTCGAGCATTATGCCACCGAGCGAGTCCTTACCAGTTTGGTCAACCGCATCTTGTACCTCCACCGCCCGCTTGGCATAGGACACATTACCAGTGGGATGATCGTTCCAGGGTTGACCAGACATTTTTGGCATGGCTAGAGGCGCAGATTAATATTTGGGACCAGTGGCATGACCTGATTCCTCCCCCCTCCACCTGACTGGACGGATGGTGAGCATGAGTATATGGGCTGGTACCGCAACATTACTTGACTTTTCATCGGAAATCCCGTTCATCTCGTTGGCGGTCGATACGTTCCATACGTCGGGAGGCACGAGGCACTGGTATGTTATTTGGTATACTTACTTATAACGTTAACCTAGCGTTCTGTAATTAATATTTTACATGTTGTGCAGGCTATTGGCCTATATCTGGTTTACCAGTTGGGACTGCAGATGCAGCAGCATACCGGCGAGGGAGCAGCCGCTTTGCACGAGTATAGCCGGCAGGTTACAGATCTGGCTTCCCCGGACATTGAGGCGAGCCTGAGATGATAAGCGCTTAGGATACGAGGCTGATTATGTGGTGCCAGAGCAGTACCATTGTGGGCCAGCAGTAGAGCCTAAATGTGGTCGACGTGGCAGGCGTGCCAAGAGAGGTAGGGGTATCCCACGAGGTCGTGGGGGTCGGCGAGGACGTGGTCCCCAGCAAGGGGGCATTAAGGCACCTGTTAAGGATGTTGGAGTTGATCAGCTCGGTGACCACCATAAGCCAGACCATGCTTCTAGAGATATGACGTCATTCAGCCTTCAGCTTACTCTAGGGACTTCGCAGGTGACCCCGTCAGCCCTATTGTTGATCGCGGGTACGACCATTACGCGACAGGAGTGGGATCAGTATTTTTCTGGTCCTCCAGAGCCATCGACGATTGCTGATGATCGTCCAACACGAGATGTGAATAGTGGGCACCGACTGAGTTATGGCTCATCATCGAGGGATGTTGCGGATCTTTCACAGGATTTGGTTAGTTTGTATTACTATTATTTATATGTGTTTTTATCTCATTGATTAGTCATAAATATCTAAAGCGTATTTTTTTAAGGCATCATCCTCGCCCGTCACGGAGGCCACTTTATGCGATACTGACACGCTTGAGATGGATGATTATATTCAGGAGCCCGCCGAGACCTTGGTAAGACAATTTAATATTTTTTAGCTAACACGTACATTACTAATATATATTTCATATACTAAAATATCTTATTATTCTGTAGGTTACTGCTGGACCGACGACCCCTTCTACCGAGCCTACCATCCTTAATGACGATCATGTTGCAGCGCATCTTTCGATAAAGAGGCGACGTAATAAGGATGATCCTGATAATGTAGCCGGGCAGGATGGGATGCGCCTCAAGTCAACCAATGCTTTAAAGCATACAGGTTGTGGGACACATTGACATTTTTTATTATTTGTACATATGACATTCAGTATGTAATAGCAATATTATTTATGGTTTATATTATATGTGCATGTGTTCTTATTTCTCGGGTTATTTATTAGTTTAATACTATAACACAAAAACAAACATAGCAACTTAACATAATTTAAATTCGGTACAACTAATAAAAATACATGACACGAAAAACATAAAGATAAAATACTAACTCAACACATCCATGTGCTTGTTTAATCACTATCGCCCATTATTCTCTGCTTCAACCACTTAAATTGCTCTTCCAACCTATTGTTTTCTTCTTCCGTCTTTTTTAGTTTCTCCTGCACTATCGCAAGTTATCGTTATAATTTAAAGATCTTGAAAATATTTATGAATAGATTTTTACAAAATCCTTAACCTCTTTAAATAAGGAAAAACCAGTCTGGGGGATACAATTATTTTAGATATAGCGCCTTAAATATGGGCGTTATACCCAGTTAAATTATTGTTACTTCAGTTAAGCCTAGAAGAATTATTGGTCGGACCACATAATATATATAGCACGGTATATTAGGGCTTTATATATATAGCGCCTTTTAAAAGGGCATTATACTTAACTGGGCAAACGTCCATTAAGGTATAGCGCCTTTTAAAAGGGCGTTATATATATTTTGGTCACCAGTTTTCTTTTCCACACATTTTGGTTCTTTGAGTCCAAAAGAACTACATTTTAGTTAGATAAACAAGTAAGAGCTATCTTTCTTTAAACTTTATTTCTTATTATGTAAGATCATAAGGTTCAAAATTAATCGGTGTAGGAACTGCTATAATGACTACTCGGTATTGGAAATGTTTTCAGTTCTTAATTCTGTTGCGAGAAATCATTCATTGGCAAAACAATTATTATGGTACGCTATTTTGGGACTTGTGTATACTCGTAAAACCGAGCCCATGAGATGCCTCGTCTTCCGATGAAGCAAACAGAGCAAGAGACGCGACGGCAGGGAACCAGAATCGAGACAGGAGCCCCTCTAGCCGGGGTCCGGGCAAAGCGCTCGACCTCGAAAAGTATCAGGGCCATAACCCCGAGTTCGGTTTGAATCCCAAAGGCCTCGAAAAACACTATCAGGTAACTGAGCACGACTAACAAAAAGCTATGATATCCGTGACCAGCCGGATATCACAGCGTAGATCTTGGCACGTATCGGCACAGAACCAGTGATTGGTTAAACGAAAGATTTTTACCTTTTATAGAATTGTACTTAGGGTAAAACTTCCCTACTATACAAATGGGGGTTTGATTATTTATTAGGGACACTGTAACACGTATGTGAGCACCTAAGTTTTTACCGTGTTTGAATATTTTCCGCTCCCATCTTCCCATGCGTGTCCCCACTCCTTGTCCCCCACGCGTGTCCCCACTTTACCTTGTCCCCCGCGCGTGTCCCCACTCTACCTTATCCCCCATGCTTGTCCCNACTCGGGGAATGCCTTACACCTTCTCCCCGGTCAACAGAATTCCTTACCCGAACTTTATTTTCGCAGACCAATAATAATAGAGTCAAATCTTCCTTTGACTAGGGATTCAAATAAAAGGTGACTTGGAACACCCCAAAACTCAATTCCAAGTGGCGACTCTGTAAGTAAAATAATCCCTACTCAAGTTTGTCACTTTAATTGAAAAAACTCTTTAACCCAATCCATATAACATTTATATCTTGTGGGGGTAAAAAGGAGGTGTGACAGCTATGGCGACTCTGCTGGGGACTTCAAGAATTCGAGCTTGTACATTGACTTTATTTGGCTTTATTAATTTTTGTATATATTGTGATTTATTTGAGTCTAATGTGTTACTTGTCGAGTTTTTACCATTTTGATATTGTTGAACTGTACATATAAATTGTATCTTCTCTCGCATCCCTCTGAGTCTTCTGATAATTAGTTATGTTGTGTTTGCCTACCAGCATTACAAAATTTCTGTCTTGAGATAAAGCCATTTAGCCTACCAGCTTCTGGTGAAGGATTTAGTCACACATGTTTAGGCGGGAGAGCCGTTAGCTAGCCAGTGCTGTTCTACTACTGGTAATGCTTGACGCTCCTCGGCTCGGGTTGTCCGCCCGGGTAAGCCAGGTCTAGATACCATCTCATTTAAGATTTACAAACTTAGAAGAACAAGCCACAAGCAATGAATACCCCCTAGTAGGCTACGCTTTATTTGCATCATGTGCATTTGACTTAACAGCAGTCGACTCATGGGCCGAGTTCTGTTTTAGGACAAGTACCTGGTTGAGACCATTATGTCATGTTATGTGCTACTTGTTGCATTATTTGGGAGGCTTGCATGTCGACCGACTTTAGCATAAATCAGTTGAATGAACAGAGAAAAAATGATGTGGTTTAGTGCATATGGTTCTTAAAGATTAATTTTCATATAAAAAAAAAGAAGAAGTACATAGTCAATTTTAACCGAACTATGCGGGTCTGATTCTCACCGGATGTGAGATACGTAGGCAAACCTCATCGGTTTCGGCCCCCAATTTTTAAAAATCCAAAAAGATATTTTCTTTTAATTACTTCTTTAGAAGCTTCTTTTTTTTTAGACCAAAAGTCCAAAAATATTTTCTTCCTTTTTTCTTAAAGTCTTTCTCCCAAAATCCAAAAAACAAAATTTCTTTCTTTTGAAATTTAAAAAAAAAAAAAAANNTGTCGGATTAATTGTACATGAAAAAGAGTTAGTTTATTTATTTTATTTCTGATCCACCGAACTACGCGGGTTTGATTCTCACCGGATATGAGATACGTAGGCAAACCTCATCGGTTTCGGCCCCCAATTTTTTTTAAAAAAATCCAAAAAGATATTTTCCTTTAATTACTTCTTTAGAAGCTTCCTTTTTTTTTGAGAGACCAAAAATCCAAAAACAATTTCTTCCTTTAAAAAAAAAAAAAGTCTTTCTCCCAAAATCCAAAAATAAATTATTATTTTTTTTCTACTTTAGAAGTTTTCTTTCACCAATTCCAAAAAAAAAAAAAAAACAATCGAAAAAAAAAAACAAAAAAATTAAAAAAATATTTTCTTTGCTAGAAAATTTTGTTTGATTAATTGTATATAAAAAATAGTTAGTTTATCTA